GTCAGTGATTTCTTTTGCTATGTAAAAGTATTTTAATTTGATGTGATCCTAGCTGTTGATTCTTTGTAGTATTTCCTTTGAAATTGTGGTTTTATTCATAAAATTTTTGCCTATATCTATATCTTCAAGAGTTTCACCTTATTCTGACTTCTAGAAAATTAATTATTTCATTGTAATATTTAGATCTTAGATCCATTTTGATTTTAGTTTAGTGCATGGTAAGAGATATGGGGCTAGGTTTAATCTTTGGCAGGTGGAAAGTCAGTTTTCCCAGAACCACTTATTAAAAAGGCTGTCTGTCCTCCAGTGAAGGTGTCTGGCTCCTTTGTCAAAGGGAGGCTGACTGTGCTTGAGTTGTTTCTGCATCTTCTAATCTGTTCCACTGATCCCTGACTCTGTCTCTTTTGCCAGTACCATGCCGTTCTCATCAGAGTAGCTTTGTAGTGTAACTTCAAATTAGGGATTGTGATGCCCTCCGCGGTGCCTTTGTTCCCCAGAGTTGCTTTGCTATTCCAGATCTATACTGGCTCCATATGAATTTTAGGATTACTTTCTCTAGTTCTCTGAGGAAGGTTTTTGGTATTTTGATTGTGATTGAATTAAGTCTGTATAAGAGTTTTGGAACTATGTCCATTTTCATTATATTTTTTTCTGCCTATCCAAGAACAGGGATATCTTTCCATTTTCTGATATTCTCCTTTTTCAGGATACTGTAGTTTTCAATGTAAGGGTCTCTCACTTCCTTCCTTAGATTGATTCCTAAGTATTTCATTTTTTATGCTAACATGAAAGGAGTTGTTTCCCTAATTTCTCTCTAAGTGTGTTTGTTACTCATGTACAGGAATACTATTGATTCTTCTTCACTTGTTTTTCAACAGCCTATTTGTACTGTTGAACAATTCAAACAACATAAACTTTATTATTTGCTTAATAATTATTCCATTAAAATTGGTTAGACAAGAGAAAATGTCACTTCACTGTGGAAATAGTAAGTAATACCTTTTGAATATGTAAATCTTTACCTTTAAGCCTTTTTTAAAAAAAACAAATGAGTAGGTTAAGGGATAGTGGACAGCTGCTCTGGCAAATTTTTATGCTATTTGAAATGACAGTCAACAGTGCCAGACTTCAAATAAAAACTATCCAGTTATATATAGAAACATTGTCAGGCAAAGACCTGAGCCTATCAGTTTTGTTTGAGGGTTATCCTTAGGGGCTACAGTAATGTATTTCCAAAAATGATCAGATGATTAGCTGTATGATAAATACGTTCCCTCTGTTACATTTACATTTTGTATTTGTGGTTTATGTTTCCATTTTAGTTGTTTACTAGTTTGTAGGAAGTCCTAAGCACTGTGGGATAACTCACATCAGTACTCAGTTTGCCCATATACAATGAGAGACAATCACAAACACTAGACTCTTGTTAACCTGTATTAGACAAACTTGAAATAGTAACATGAAAATTCCCTCATTACCCTCCAGCCCACATCTGTCCAGTTCTCCAGGCCACTCTGCTTCTCTGTGGATGGAGACAGCAGCACAGCCAGGGTTAGTACAGGTTCAAGTAAGAGTGGTAGTAAGGGGCATGGTAGGATGGTCAGCTCTCCCGGCTCTTTGAAATAAGTGCAGTTTAGCCAATCACTCTTTAGCAGTCTATAATATGCTTCAATTTGGACAAGAATAATAATTCCTGTCTAGGGTTTCTTAATGATCTTTACAGAATAAGTTTAAATTCTACACTATATTAAATTTGTTCCAAAAAATGGCTGTGATCATATCCCTCAGCTGGCAGGTCTTTGGCAATGACATTGTACCACCCTTCTAAATCGGGGAATGGAATCCCTGTCTCCTCCTTTCAAATCTGGCTTGCCTTGTGACTTGCTTTGGCCAACAGAATGCAGTGGAAGCAGTGGTCTGTGGTTTCGGAGGCTATGCTTTTCGACATCTTGAAGTCTCTGTTCTCATGCTGTTGGAATGCTCCCGCTGGGAACGCTGTCCTGAAACTGCTATGCTGCGGGGAAGCCAAGCTAACCAAGTAGAATGCTAGGCAGGGGAGAGGCAGGCTCCCTGGTTGGAAGCCAGGCAACCCTAGTCTGTTCCCACATAATCGACCTGACAAAAGAGCCATGAGATTCCACAGGAAAAACCTTCTTGTCAACCACAGAATCGGGAGAAATGATAAAATCATCCTTTTAAACCACAGAGGACTGAGATGGCTTGTTGCACAATAGATTGCTGGAATATGTGCTAACATAACAGTACCTTGTATACCAGTTAGGTAAATGAGGATTTATGAAGCTAGCCGTTGTATCGACTGTTGGTTATCCTTTCCAGGTTTCTCACTCCGGGCACAGGGTTTCCCTGTGTAACCAGGAGCGCAATCACAGTCACCAGGTTTTTTGTTGCGATTGACCTCCGTTCTCACCGGACCCACAGGGGAAGCAGCATTCTGGGCCCCAGAGGGCCTCAGAGCAGGCTGGTAAGATAAAAGCAGCAAAAAAAGAGTTCAGCCTGTAAGGAAGCTCAAGACAGGCAAGACAGTCCTAGATTTCTACTGTCGCCTAAGCGAGTCGGCAAATTGTGTGTGTGTGTATGCGTGTGTGCATGTGTGTGTCTGAGCTGCAAAGAAAGAAACGTTCTAGTAGCCTCTGAGGATTTATGACACTTCCAAAAATATTCCCTGCAGAAATCAACACGATGCTATATCTTGTCACTTTGGAAACACAGATACAGTGGTTGGCTTTTTGCTGAAAATGTGGTTTTTCAGACAGTAACAATGGAAGCAATTTTGATATATATCTTTGGAGGCAAGTGCACTGAACAAAACATGAAAATAAGATGTAATTTGTGAAGGAATCTCAGGAGGGATGGTGCGCCAGAAGTTGCCCCCAAGGACTTGCCTAAATCCTTTGTCTGTTTCAGCTTTTTTTCTAAGCCAGAATAATCATGCCAGGGTCCACAAATGGTGTATTTTATGAAAGTGTGTCATGCGTGAGGCGGCTAAGGAGAAACTGGCCACCACTTCATTGAATGTCTTTTGAACTAGAAAAGGACAGGTGACACAGTGGGGCTCAGGTCTGAGCATCTGTGTGATCGTCAAAACCCCTACAAAGGAAAACCTCGTGCGAAGCGTTTCTCCAACACAGAGAAAATGATGCAGCTTTCTCCAAAGGAAGCTAGTTGTGGAAAGTTACATCAAACTAAGTCAGGCTGTGAAGAATCATTTGTACTGAACAGAGTCTCTGAATAACAGAATTATTGTATTCTTCTGGGATGCTCACATCTGATTTGTTGATCACATGCGCTGTGTCAAGATCTTTCTGTAAATTAACTCATATTTCCATGAAAATCCTCCTGTGACAACCTCATTTTGTTCTTACAAGAGGCTCTGAGAGGCCAAGTGACTTACCCTATTTCACAAAACTAGCAAGTATTAAAGTCGGGATTTGAACCCAGATCTTCTGAAACTGATGCTCTTAGCACAACACCCAACTTAATAAGCCAGGCGCTCAGCACCTGCTTTTAGAGAACCACCAGAGTTCCAAGATTTTCAAAGTTCATCTGACGTGGAACTTCTTTAACAAAACTCTTTGTTTATCATATGACACAGTTGTTGCATAGAGCTCCTTACATGAACACAAGGTCTCAGCTGAGCCACAGGATCTTCTGTACTCCAAGGTCTGCCTGCCGCTGGAGTCCCAAGTACCCCAGGCTGTGTACTAAGCAACATACACCAAAGGCATTAGCTGCCTTTGTCCCGTTTCACAGGTGAGTTGCAGAAAGCAGCGCCTCTGTCCTTAGAGTGTCTCCTCACACGCTGAGCAGGGCCCGCGCTGACTGAGGAAAGCACCGCCCATCAGCGCCACTGAGACAATTCAGAGTCTGTAATTAACAGTTCATCTGCAATCCAGACACGACCCGGGGTTGAGATTTCGAAGGGTATGTCTAGCTCTCAGAGCACTTGGGCTCCTTCACTCCTCGAAAAAGGAGAAAGAAGAACAACAGGCCTGATTTTCATCGTATGCAAGTCTTAAACAGCTCCTTCTGCCTTGATTTCAGCTGCCAGTCATGCGGAGCCCGTTCACTCGCTGCAGTGTGATTCATAATTTCGTTTTGTGGTCAGACAAAAATACCGAATTGGACAAAGTTATCTGACTGAAAAATAATATGTTTTCCAGTGATTATGGTGACCTCTCTATTTTGCTGATTTACATATACTTTCAACTCATTTTCTTTCACAGTGGGAATCTCAGAAGCATTTTCCAATAAAGTATATTCAGCAGCTGCTTTAAGAAAATGTTATCAGAATAAATTAAATTTACCTAGGTATGTGGATATGGAATCATCTCCTTCTGTTCTGATTTTCGGGCCATGACTTCTGCAGGGGGCAGATGAAAAAGGGCCAAATCTAGGCTTAAAACTCAGCTGGGACAAGAGTTGTAGTGAGTGGTGGAAGACGCACTCTCAGACCCTATCAGACAGATTGGCATCGGCTCAGCCTAGGGTTGCCTCAAGTGTCTTCCCCACTTCGTAGAAATTCACCATCTGGCTAGCGACCTAGCCCAGTCTCCACCAAATCTATGTGGACATCACTGCTCACTGACTCTAGGTCTGTCTGCAGAAGGACAGTCACGCTCCCCTTTCTACTCAGCTCCAGAAAAGTCCTGCAGACACGGAAGGTGGAGGTGGAGGGAGCAGATGACGACATGTGAACGTCAAAGACAACGTCCAGTCCACTGTCTGCCGCTGCACGTGGACCGCGTATGAGGGCTGCCTTCCCAACCAGCCCGCTCTTACTTTAAACCAGATTGCCCTCCCAGTCAAGGCAGTGTCATATCTCACCGTTAGTTACAACAACTTTGTTGTCTGCTTAGTATTTGTATCAAAGAGAAGAATGTTTTAATAATTTCCCCTGAATAAAATAGTAGCTAGTTCTCCAGGCAAAACACAGGATAACATAAGAAAAATGTACAAGTAGAAAAAGGAAGCATACACATTTATAAATTGATTAAAGAAAACATTTCCTGAGAAATATCTATGTTGGGATGGTTGTACGAGTTTGGTGATACTTGAGGGAACAAAAGAACAGGCGTCCTTTTCATGTGAAGTTCAGGGTCTGGAAGGAAAGGGTGGGTAATAAATATTAGACACTGAAAAGTAATCTAAGCTATGTGATGTGCTAGAAGATGACAAGTACTATGGAAAACCCTAACTGCAGAGCAACTTGCAGCCTGCAATTTTAAATAGGGCAGCACAGGTAAGATTTGGTAAAATAAAATGATGTGCGGCTCTCTGAAACTTAAATAGTCATTCAGACTCCTTGGAGGAGTATTTTGTGAGCCTACAAGACAGGGCAACATTCCTGACATCTTGGAACACAGTTTTCCAAATTTTATGTGGAAGTACAAGCATATATTTATATGTTACTTATAATTAGAGTCACACTACGCATATGCTTCTATATACGTTTATATAAAAGTATGTAATACCTTGAAATTTGAGGAAGGACAATACTGAGAACCATATTAAAATTATCTGTGGCTAAGTAGCTTTGAACTGTATTTATTTGATTAATTTTTAGATATAAGAAGAACAAATCTCTAATTCTGGAAACTAGCTGTGAGTTGGGTGATTAGTTCAATTCAAAGAAGCTATTGTCAAAGTTTACTCTTTTTCAGACAAGATTCTCTGTTTTGTGATCTTTCCTCTCTTGACCAAGCTAACAAGCAGAAGACAAGGTTAAATAACTTTAGATAACGTGCTCTGTGTCTCAGTTTCCTCACCTTCAAATAGGAGAATAATAAAGCACACCCACCTCTGAGGACATGAGTAGTTTGACTAATTAATGATAATATGATGCTGAACAAGGACTGCACATTATTATTAGAGAAGAAAGAAAATCTATCATCAGATTGTACCTTTCTGGCATCTGTTGCCTTGGCAACCAGATCTGCAGGTGCAGCTACCATTTCTGGCACTGCATTCCAGGGTGTTCTCCACACACGGACATTCAGAAGAGCAGGCAGCTCCCTAGACCCCCTTGGGACAGCCTGCAAGCAGAATGAGGCAAACTGGTCACCTGAAAATGATGCTTTGTTTATTTTAAATTGTTGGTGCACAGGCAGGTCGCTCTGTAGGGCCTGATTATAAGGAAAACAAGGGGATCATCCTAACGGCCAAGAAAAACAAGAAAGAAATGTCTCTCAAATCAGGCAGTTCATTTGCTTTTTGGCAACTGGATGTGAACAGCGAAGCCTGCACTACTTAAAAGGCTTTGGTGCTTCCGCGAGAGAAATCGCTTCTCAGTGTGCTCCATTGGTGCCTATAGTTAATATTCTCACAGGATTGCTACGGCTGCCGGGTCTCATAGGAACCCTGCTACAGGACGGGGATGAGGGACGGCATTCGTGTGAAGGCTTGCCACTATTTTCCTCCCCTTCATTATATGATAATCAGAAATAATTTTACAGCACGCAGACAAAGCAAGGCTTCCACTGTGATAGCAGCACTATCCTGACCACATCTTTGGCAAATGGTGTTTTTCCTCCTTTCTATCTTTCCCGCGTCACTGAGTTTTAGGGACAGTAGCATCAGAATTGTAATTTGAAAATGTCACACCTTTGCTTTTAAGAAAGCATAGTTGTCTTTTTGAAGAGTTTCTTGATTAATTCAAGTCCCTTTCCAAAATACTCTTTTGACAATTTTGTTTTCCGTCTTATAAGTGTTCCAGGAGTTATCAAATGAAAGATACCTTCACATGCCCTCCAGGCTCAAGGCAATTGTTCTGTGGGCCCTCATAGGCTTCGCTGTAAAAAGTTCCTTTCAGAGAGTAGAACAGGCCATTGCCTTTCTGGTGCATGAAAAGAGCACTGGTAGAGTTGAGTCAAAGTGATGGTGACAATGGCAGCATGTAAGAGGATCCTCGTTGCCAAGGAGAGCCTAGAGTTATCTTTAAAGAAAAACAATTATTCACAAGGGCACACTAAAATTTTCAAATTTGGATAATCAGTGATATAAACCCCATCACTTTTTCTATGACTTCCAAGTTTGGAATCCTTTTCAACCCTGAAACCACAGTCAACTGTATGCCTTGTATAGTCCTCTTCTTGCTCATTCCAGAATATTCTCCTGGAGTTGGCCTCCTTGCCTTACTCTTCCTGGTTCAACATGTATAATTGTGGTTCAGGAAATCAGCCAGGCACAATGGAATGCTTAATTGTGACAACTGGGTATAAGAACATACACCTGGAGCCAGACATGGTGGCACATGCCCATAATCCCAGCACTTGGGAGGCTGAGGCAGGAGGATCGTTGCGAGTTCAAGGCCAGCTTGGGCTACAAAGGGAGCTCAAGTCCAGCCTGAACTGCATAGCGAGACCCTGTCCAAAAAAAAAAAAAAAAAAAAAAAAAAGAACATACAACTAGAAATACATTTCAAAAAAAAAGAAAAAAAAAGCAGTAATCTATATTGGTAATCTACTGCCCACTTTGGATTTGTTGTGCATTGAAATATATTCTTCAAGAGTTTAAATACTGAACTTCTAATTCTCAGTACCTCAGAATGTGCCCTTTCTTGGAAATTAAGTCTTTTCAGCCACAATTGCTTAAGATGAAGGCATACTGGAAAAGGACTGGACTGTAATTCACCATGACCAGTGTCCTTATAAGCAGGGAGACTTTATACAGAGCCACGCAAACAGGAAGAGCACAGTAGGAAGACTGCTTTATGTTTTCATGGGACATGAAACTACCAGGATCTAGGGGAGTGTGGAGAGATCCTTCCTTGGCCTATTCAGAGAGAGCAGGGCCTTGCTGATGTCTTGAAATTAGACTTTTAGCCTCTAGAACTCAGAGAAAATAACCTTTTGTAGCTTAGGGCATTTGGTTTGTGGTTCTTAGCTATGAAAGCCTTAAAACTTGTATAGGATTGTAAACTCAGTCTTCTCAGGGCCAGTCAAATGACACTAATAAACAAAGCCTATAGTCCAAGAATAAGGGAGTCTTAAAGAATAAGGGAGTCTTAAAGAACTAGGACCTATATGCTCTCCTGAATATAGTCACATTCAAAATACTGACCACCACCAACACCAACAGCAGCAACAGCAGCAGCAACAGCAGCAATAACAACAAACCTGTTTGCTGAATTTTCTCCCCAGTTTCCCCAAAGCATGCAGAGAATAAAAGTATGCGAGGCTGATATTTTAATCTTAAAATCTTCAATTCTGTGTTTCTAAAAAGTTAGCTCTTTACATTTTTGACCAGATGGATTATGATTTATTTTTTTCAGCTCAGATATCTGATATCGCCTTATAAAATACCAAAAAGTTATTACTAAATATGGGGCACATCTTGCTACATTTTAGAAACAGTACCAGACAGGATCCTGTCCTTATTTCTAGGCCAGTCTGGCTGTCTGCGTGTGTTAGAGGAGGTGTCCGGCATTCTGGAACACAGCACATGAGCTCCGTTACTCACTTGCCCATGCCTTACCCCATTCTCTTCTGTTCTGTTTGTCTAAGGACAGCCTTTCCTCATGACCCAAGCTCAATTTTCAGAGGTGCCTTCATTGTCTCTCTTGCTGGGGTATACACAATAAACTCCCTGTTCTCCAGGGACATGTCTTTACGTATACGTCAGACCCGTGGACATTCAGCTAGAGATAAATTATAAAACTCTAAGGTGTCTGCTATTAAGAGATGGATATGCCACTACTGAGAGTAGTGGTGTGTGTATTTGTGTCCTCCTAAAATTCAGCAAGTTGATGGTGTTTGGAGTGGGAGTCTTTGGACATTATGTCATGTGGGTGGAGCCTTCCTGAGTGGGATCAGTGCCCGTACCAAAGAAGCCCCATAGCTCATTTGCTTGTCCCTCCTAGATGAGCACACGGTGAAAGGCCGTGTCTCTGAACCAGAAAGTGGGCTCTCACTAGACCCAGAACCTGTGGTGCTCGGAGTTTCAGTTTCTCAGTTTCCAGAATTAAATATATTTCTGCTGTTTATAAACAACCTAATTTACAGTGCTCTGTTACAGCAACCTAAACAGTCTAGGACACTAAAGCTCATGCAGGAGAGACTCTTGGAGGAACCAGTCCCTTAATAGGAAGAGGAAGGACTTAAAATAGACAGGCAAGTGGGCCGAGGTCACTTCAGGCTCGTGTACCCTGCGCACAGCTTCAGGTGGACAAAGCTCTCAGAGCTATCCCGTTGGGAGAAATCCTAAAAGATAAGACAGGGTGTGTTTCCTGCTGAATGTGCTCTCTTGAATCTTTTGCAAAATGTGACTGGTTTTCAGATTGCCAAATGAGGATCACTTTAAGGAATACTATTGCTTTGCACTGGGACCCCGGAGACTTGTTTTGGGTTCTTTGCATTTAAGTTTTGTAAAGCATCAAATGTGCTAAATAAGCTATTAATAATATTCACTCAATAATTAATAAAAATGTTAGCCAGAAAAAAATAAAAATTCAGAAATGTTTTCATCAGTCTCTAGATCCTGGAATTTAAAGAGGAGAAGTAAAGATGAGGATCTACTCTATACCAGCCCTCACCACGTAAACTGGATCCTCCTCTGCCCTTTGAAGTCGGGTACGTTGTTCATACTTCTCTGAGCTGTTACGCTTCACACAGAAAACAATTAGTGCTTGTGACTTAGTCGGATGACAAAACCTCCCGTAGCACCCTGGTTCACACACACAGGCACCATACATCCTGCGGCAATGGCCATTGTTGGTGCAGTTACATTTTCTTCTGCAATTTTTCCCAAAGAACCCTTGCAATCACCATGGAGAGCAAAGAATAAACAAAGCAAATATTAACCCACATGCAAAACTTGCTGGAGTTGCTTTTAAGTGGAATAAGAAGCTTGAAAAAGTTGAGATATTTCATATCTGGTAGGACTGAATGAAGCAAGGGAGGTCTTCTGAGAACTACAGACATTATTCTGCATCTTTTGCTCAAAATTTTTCAGGGAATTGCCTTTGCTCCAGATTAAAATCCCCAAAGAGCACTGAGCCCTTGCGCTGGCTGAGTCGTGTCACGCTGCTGTCTCTCTGTCTTTATTCTGCCTTTGGGTTTTGCAGTGTCTCGCACACCTTCCTTCCTTGTCTCAAGTGCTCTTCTCTTCCTCTTGCCCTGTCTCATTTCTTCTCATTCTGCATGCTTCTACTTAGAAGTCACTTCTCCAGAAGGCGCTCCTGGTCTGCAGCCCCATCTCACTTCCATCCCTGCATTAACACTTAATTTGTAAAACCTATCAACTTCTGTAAATCAAAATCTTCCCCTTGCTTTACTGCTCTTCATGCTTCACTTGGTTTCCTTACTCTTCTTCTCTATCTCTGATCTCACTGTGTTTTTCTTCTGCTGGTTTACCTCCCTCTGACATCACAGTTCACATCTGAGACCTGGGAGGACTCGATACACTCCACCATCTGCCGGAAGACTCCAGACTAAGTGCATCTCAGTGGACACAGAGGGGAAAGCCTGCCCACCAGGAGACTGAGGAGGACAGCAGTGACTCCTATGGCTGTGACCCCTCCAGTGGGGACGGTGGGCTGTGGAGACGGCTCTAGGAAGGGAAAGCAGGTGCAGGGTCCTGATGCGCAGGTGTCACACAGCTGCCGATGCACAGTGGCCTCCCAGCTGGTAGGCGCTGGGGTGGGGGCGCAAGGAACACAGCTCCTTCCAGCACCCAGTCAAGGAAGTCTTCCTGGGCTCTACGTCTGTCTTGAACAAGACTGTAAATTCCACTTGGAGAAAACAAAATCCTTTCTACTTATTTATTATGGTCATACCAGAATGCCTAGAACAGTTCTTTGCAATCACTTAGTTTTTTAAATAAATAAACATTGCTCACAGGGATAAGCTACTAGGATGGCAGCAGAAACTTTCCTGTACCTCAGAACATGAAATTTGGTTTCCATCTCCCAGGTTCCACAGACTGTAATTCTTAGTAAACTCCCCCTGACTTCTGGCAATTCCCTAGAGACTAATGTCCTCACTGACTTTCTACCTTTAGCTCTTGCCCCTGAAAAAGCTGTTTGGTGTGTGTGTGTGTGTGCATGTGTGCGTGTGTGTGTGTGTGTGTGTGTGTGTGCGTGTTTGTGTATGCACGTGCTTTGTCTACCCTTGTAGGAAATATGGCCTCTCCACTGGTTTCAATGAAAAAATCCAAGCACAGTATACACTGGCAATGTGAGATTTTCATCCATCATTTTTCTTCTTTTTACTTCTCTGTATCTTCTTTTTTATTCTCTGAACTTCATATATCTTTTTCTCTGCTTTGGGGTCCCATTTTTTCCATTTATTATGCAGAGCAAATAAATTCTCCCCAGGTGCTACATCGAAACCTGCACACACAAACTCAACTTCTTGTTCAACAGAAAAAAGGGGAAAAAAGCTTTTTTGTATCAGTTTAGAGCACAGCTGGTGATTTAAGTATCACTTATTTTGTTCCGTTATACATGGCATCAGTCACAACACTGTATTCTTGCATATATACACAAGGATTTTATTCTTTCTGAAAAAAAGAGTAAAGTTTATCTTGAAAAACAAAGATGCACCTTTCACTTAGATCATTTCCTTTAAATTCCCCAAGAAATGAAAGGATGGTCTTGTGTGATTGGCACCAGGCACTCCTACAGTCTTCATAGTTTTCTCAGAGCCCCCGGGGGCCGCTGGCACTGCCCAGTTGGAGGATCACAGGTGCCTCCCCCTGACAGCCACAGAGGCTGCCGCTCCCTTCCCCATGCTTCTCTGGGGACTGAGCTGTGAAGAGAGTAAGAAAGATGAACAAGTAATGCAACATATTTTCATGTTACAAACAGAGGGGGAAGAAAAGTTTGACTTCCTATTAGGATGGATTCCAGCACCTTGCCGACACAGGAAGACCTCTGGCACACTCCTAGTTGGTGTGGCATAATCATTCCCCAGGGACTACTGCTGCAGCTGGTTAAAATAATGATGACCGGAGGAGCTGTCGGCAAGGTGCGATGCAGGATATCCTCATCTCTTAAACTCTAACCCCTACATTTTCAAAGCTTCCCAGACATCTTAACTGTAATCTCTAACCAGCCTGAATGAGAAACAAACTGTAGCTTCTTATTTTGAAAAACTGTAAGGACACAGAAAAAAAAGTCGTGTATTTTTTAACAGGAGTGAATCTAGCTAAGGTTCTCTTGAGGATCTCCAGATCTGCCGCATTTTCAAAGACTGATGCAGTTAAGCAAACAACAATTTTCCCTGGTTTGTTATTTTTTGGAAGTACTTAGTGTTTGAATAAAATATATATATTGAGAGAAATGTCTGGACTTTAACTTGAGTAAATAAAGAGGTTCAGATAATTTCAGTAATCATTTTAACTGAAATTTTATCATATATTTTATATATTAATTTTATCATATATTTATATGTTAATTTTTATATATTTTATGTAAATGTTATGGAGCTTCATTTATGTCATCTCCTCCACGACACTGCCCCCACCACTCCGAGTACTAACATGGAACTTCGCTTCCTATTTACCTATTCTTTGCATTCAAGCCATAGGTTATTATGAAAGGGCAAGGAAAGGAACAGGGCAGCAAAATGAAGAGGAAAGGAATATTTGCTAAGGTCTACCTGGTGAAAGAACTTTAGTGAGTCTTTAAATCTTACAGTAACTATAGAAGAGACAATTTTTAAAAACATTCTGTTAAATGAAGCTATGTAATATAACAACCACTGTTAACTCCTATTATTTTGTTTTGAAACCCTGTATCATTTCATTGTGTTTGCTTTGATTTGTTTTTGTCTGTGGTGTTGGTATTTTGCTATTGTTCTTTTTTATTACTCTCTTTAAAAAAAGAATTTGAAAAGGTTCCCAGCGTTCCTAGGTTAAAGGTCATCGACGTACGCAAGCTGATCCGTTACCAAACCCCGTTCCACCGCGTTCCACTATGATATCACAAAGCTCAAGAATGTGACCAGTATTTCTTTACATCAAAATGCAAAGTTCCTGGAGAAGAAAATTTTTTAGTCAAACATGTCCCAATTCACAAGTGGATGAATTAGAGAAAAGTTTAAAATAAACATGTCCCAAACCACAATGGGATGAATTAGAGGACATCATAATGTTCTACTCCACTCACTCGTTCTGTGAAATTACTTTTATCTTCCCTACCCCTAATCCTACAGTAATAATCTCAAATTAAATTTCTTTAGAAAAATGAAGTTCTACAAACCTGCAAAGAAAATCAAATAACATGTAGTATTTTAAAAATTGTTTCCTTAATTGGAGACATTCCTAAACAGTGGAAGTAGGTATTTTTATGGTAGACTGAAAAAGATACAGAAGACATGGTCTAGAAGATCTATTTAGTGGCAAAACCTACTTTCCTGATCCATGCTGAGTCTTCATCTGACAGTTTCTTTGTTGTATTTTAAAAGCCAGTATTCTTTAAAATGTGGGGAATTTGTGATTGATCACTGTTATGGTTGAAACATTGTGTCAACTTGGGGAGTCTAGAGGTTTGGCTAA